CGACAACAAACTTACCCTAATTTCTGGCGGCTTTGTTCAGGGGTCATATGACTGAACTTTTTCGCCTCATCTTTCCCCAAGAAGGCATCATGATCATAACCGACGTCGTGGACATCGTTATCTTGGTGGGCAGCTTGACTCAATTCCTAATGATAACTGATAAGAAGGGCTTCCGTAAATACCCTCTCATAAGCTCTCGCCTTTGGATCATGAGGCTTTGCCCATGAAATAGTTAGGAATGACAGAACGATGAAAGTAGAAAAAGCTCCCATCTCCAAGTAATTGCACACCCGCGGGCTATCAAGAAGGGACAACGTCATACGAGATATAAGGTCATGGATAATGAACAGCCTCAAGATGCAAAGGTTATGCCGACTATTCAAGCGCCCGATTGATTTCAATAGCGATATATGCGTAACTATCTATCTTAGATTTTTTGCATATTTTTATTTTTGCTCTGCTCATTCTGCTGGCAAAATCGTCTATAAATTCATCTAAGACAATATTTTTAAAACAGTATACCGGGTTTTAATCCGTTCACAACCAGAATATAAAGCTCCAACGTGGCGCCCCGTGACTGAAAAAGGAATCAATTATTTGGAACGCGCTTAAGCGAGGGTGGTGAAAGTCACTGAGGGTTAAAACTCATTTACATATAAATGCAGGCTTGACGTGCTTATCACATTTTCTATAGAGCACAGGCAGCTCCCAGGGGAACTTATACAGCTGTAGATTCTCGTAAGGAAAAGGGCCGTGCTCCGTGACTCAACTATTTTTTCTTATTGGCCGCAGCAGCCAACATCCACAGTTGGTCCCTCAAAACCCCTGTCTGATTGTTCGTCGAAATGATTTTCGCAGCGAGATGTCGGTGCTTCGAATAGAGTTCCCAGACCTAGATAACACTCAAATAATCCAGATGGGTATTTTCTTGAAATATACTGCTCAACTGGGTAGAAAAACTCTGTTACGCCAAGCTAACGCCTTTCTCCGTCGCCTTTCTTTCACAAAGTCCTCCGTTAATAACGGTGCCTTCGCTGCTGTCCCAATAGATTAACAAAGCATTTATCAGTCCTACGTTTTTGTCCCATGATAATAGTTTGCTCATTTTGAGTTTCATATTACGTGTTCTGTTTTTCATGGAATCTTCAAGACAGTGCCTATTACAATTAAGTAAAGCTAACTACTGCGCAAACGATGACAATGCAGGTTTTCCCAAAAATGTATACTTATTTCAAATAATTGTAAACTTGGTATCTATTGTAATTTTATTATTTAAAAAACATAAAACGATTTAGAAGTATCATTTTATTGTTTTTTCATTGCATGTTCTCAAACTGACGTTCATTTAAT